CCCGGGTGAAGCCCATTTGTTTGAGACTCATGTGGTGTGTTTAAGATATTTTAAGAGTATATATAATAGCATATTTTTTAAAGCCGCCCTCCTCATGCCAATGAATGATTCTTCATGTCATGAGTCTAAAAGGTTTCTTACGGCATGCCATTATTGATAAGGAAAAGGGATGGGACTATATAGGAAAAGGGCTATTACGACGACATACCATTCTAACAAGATAACAATAAGGAAAAGGGATGAGACTGCCAATGAGACACCAAAAAAGGCCCTCAGCTCGACAGGTGGCCCACGTATTCTTTCCCTTGGCACACATCTCTTGGTTTGGTCCACACGGCTCCTCAAAATGGAAGAGGATCGACTGGGAGGTCGGTCGCATTACTTTTCATGACACTCACAGTTCGTATCGTCTCGTGGCCCGCTACACGACCGCCGACCACCAATATGTGCCTTTTCTCACTGGATGTCTTCATGTCCCATGAATTAGCAGGATATAGCACGATCACAATGGAATATTGCTGTAGTATATTGGATGAAAGTTTCTGGAGCGCATTACTTCAGGATCTCGCGGGTGCTGAGGATGATCACGGCTCCAGGAGGGTCGTCCAGGAGTGGCCCCAGAACCGGGTCACTGCGTGTCCTCCTTGTGCTTGCAGCTGAAGAACACAGGTCTGGCAGACCTGGTATAGCTCCGCAGCTTGCAAAAGGCAGAGGACTCAACCTTCTCAAAGAATCCTTCTCCGACGTCCTGGGCCCGTTGTGAAGGTGGTTTGCCAGCGACGCGTGTTCCGGCGTCCCCCGACGTTGAGGAAGTGGGTCGGGCCAGGCGTGTCTCCAAGGCATGGGGGTTTCGCCAGGATTCACCAAGTGTCGGGGTCAAAGCCCGGATCCCCAAACTAGGGTCGGTTGACCTCCTTAGTAGTCATCCAGTCTGTTCATTATGTTCTGGTCAACCTAGGTAGCCCGGTGTTGACCCACACCCATACAGGTCTGGGTCTAGGTCTTCGTGGGCCTCGAATTCTCCCAACATGCCGACGACACTCCCCTTGCCTCCGGGGGAAACCCACGAACGAAAGACGGGTCTTGTCAAACGATGATCGGGTCTTCTTCAGAATGCAGGTCAATCGATGGAGCACCTCCACGGAGAAGAGATGGAGGGAATTGGAATCGATCGTCACAAATTGGAGTGGCAACAAGTGGGGGCAGGACAAGTGGGGAGCAAGTGCTCCAAATTCGCTGAGTAAAAACGGGTGTTATATTGTAAAATGGTGAGCGGAGGATCAACAGCAACTTGTAAAGGCAACTGTCACAACTCAACCAACGGGGATCAAAGAACTCCGTCACGATCAAAAGCAAGCGGTACGCTCACTTTTCCATTGCGCAACCGTCGGGGGCTCGGATGAGCCAGACTCAAGGGCCCTTGTGCCAAAATGGTCACATGAGAGGGCCGCCATCTCATATCATGATATGCATGTTCCAATGCATACAAATTCATACGCCCTCATGGCGGTGCGAAGATGGGACCATGCTGTCAGCGACACTGTTCAGTCACGCAGCTCTCGGCTGAATCCGTACTTCTCAGCAAGACCTTCAAAATCAGGCTTCTTCCATTTCACCTTTTCAAGGTACATGGCAAAGTCCACGGCCTTGGTAATCTTGGATGGCACTTTTCCACCAGTACCATACTTTGACAAAATGAACTGGAGGTACTGACGCATGTCTTCTCCTTTCTTCGAATTCGTGCGGGCCGTCATGATCATTTGATCATACGTGAGGCTTTCAGCCTTCACCTTATCCATACGACAGATGGTCTGTCCCCATTTCTCTACGGTGCTGATTCCTTCAGGCAAGGGAATCAAGGGATCGGTCACATTGGCCACTGGGAACAAGTTCACCTTTCCAGCTTCATATCCCTTTGGGCTCACAGCAAGGTGCTCCGGTGTCATGGTTGAACCGGTAGGCTCATTGGCATTCAAGAGCTCCCACGGATTCGAGGCCTGAGAGGTCTCATCGGCATCCATGCGTCGCTTCGCAGCATCAGTCATGGCGGACATGGAGGCATCCACGATGACCTGAGCTCCCACAACATTTGGTCGGAGGTCTGGACGAATCTTCACCCAGTCGTTCACACGCTGGAGCAACTGTGCACTTTGTCCGAAACGGACAGCTCGATGGAGAAGGCCGGCACACATGCTAAGATCCTGATCCGTCAGTGGTGACCGGATGTGATATTCTTCATCATCGGTCTTTGCTGCTTTCGACATGATCCTGCGGGACTGAATGGGCGACACTTCACGGTCGTGCGCTCCTTGGAGCAAAAAGGCTGTGCAAAATTCGGTTTAACCGATGCGGCACAAGAAAAATGAGAAAAACAACCAGGACGACTCCTCAGCAACGAACTGGTTCGAGGTGGCTGGCAATGGATGGTTTCTCAACCTAACTAACAAATTCTTAAGTTTCACCAAGCAAATGTTGGATTCACTTCACAACATGCATGCATGGGCCCTAGTGCTCATCTAGTTGACGTTTCTCTGCTTCTGCAGCTCTAGCCTTGGCTTTTTCTTTCTTACCTGACTCTACTCCGGTGTGGATGGTGTATTTCCAAGTGTCAACGAGTTTATAGAAAGGTCCTGTGTCGGCTCGTAGTTTAGTCAACACGTCTGCACACATGAAAATGTTACTAGTCCAAAAGACCATGATGTTCTGCAAGGACATGCTTTCCTTAGCGATGGCATAGTCGATCTGAAGTCTCTTCTCTACGCTAATAGTAGGAGAGCTACACGATTTTGTGACTGCATCGAAGAAACCCTTGCTATCAACAACGAGGCATGCTGTCTTTTCTGGGACTCGTTCTCGGAATGTTCGAGGCGATTGGCCTTCTAGGATCTCAGCAAGCAGGGATTGAATCCACTCAATCGCATCAAGTCCATTCTGACCGGACATGGTTTCTGCTGCTACTGAGGAACGAACTACTCGTCGTAACTTCTTAGAACTCCAATCTACTATCCATACAGGGGATTCCTTGTTCTTCATGATGTCTTTGGTCGTAAGACATAGGATGTATCCACCTTGACTTTCACCGTTAGCTCTAGTACACCAGCCAGCATCAGTAATACACACGATGTGCCAATCTTTTACTGGAACGTGGCTAGGGAATTTCAAACAGATTTTTCTAGTTTTCATCTCCCTCACGGCTTTGTTGTACAAGTGGACGTGTTCAACTTTCCCCTTATCCTGAACCCCTTGAAGATACGAAGCCAGGAATGCCTGTTCCGGACGTGTCGAGTTCGACACCCAGGCTAACTGACCGGCGCAAGTTCTAAGGATAGAAGGATCTGTAAGGGACGTTGAAGCGTTTCCCAAAGTCTTCGTTTCAACATGTTCCAAATTCTCGATGTAATTTTCTTGTCCTACTTCAATTTCCATCGTATTTGGATTTTGTCGAATCTCTACTCCTGTATATCTTATTGTGAAAGTACGATAGTCACCGAACGGCAATTTCTTTCGGAGTCGGTCCAAGGCTTGGTCCATTTCCTTGCAACCTCCACCTAGTAGGTCATCTACGTGTACTCCACATATGCCTTTCAAAGTGTTATCGGACTTACTCCTCAACATAAACAAACATGGATCCAACTGGCTCTGGGTTAGCCCTGCTTCCTTAAGTTCCCTGGTCAGGCGGGAAAACCAAGCACGTGGTGCCTCAGCCAGGCCGTAGGCAGCCTTCTCAAGACGAAACAGGTCATCTGTACTCAAGTTCATCCATTGTTTGATTTCTGCTGGAGGTCGAAAGTAAATGTTTCTGCAAGATTCATCACCTGACAAAAACGCTGTTTTTATGTCGGCTCCCCATAGCTTCCACTTGGATGCTGAACAAATGGATAGGACAAGGTGCTTTGTTTCCTTACGCAAAGTTGGACTGTCTGTTGCTACCTTTCCTAGGTCCGGGTCCTGCCATCCTACCAAAACTAGACGTGCTTTTGGAGTTTTGGATGTGATATCAGGATCGGATGACTTTTTCCATACCAAGACCCACCTTGCTCTAATTATTCTTTCTGTAGGAATCCCTCTAGCCTGGCAAAGTGAAGTCACCTTATTGTCAATCCAGCTTTGCCATTCCTTTTGCATAGCTTGGAGAAACAGTTTCTTGTCGTGTGGATTGAGTTTGCGGAACTGGACTTCAACCCTTCTTTGCTTCGCCTTGGACTGCGGCGCAGCTTGCAAGCATTCTTCAAAAAGATTCCAGAGACACAGAGGATTCTCAGTGATGTCTTCGGGATGGACGTCAATGGAAAGTTCGAACACATGTTCTGCCTGTTGCAATCTGGCTGTTACCGCTAGTTCGTCTTCACCAGCTTCTGGAACGGGAACATCTATGCCAGATGGTTCGATCTCGTTCGATCGTGAGTCTACTTCAGGCATTACTTCATCGGTGTTATCGGGTCTATCGGATTCGGGCGGATTAGTGTCTGTCTCTGGTTCCAGGTGTGCAGGTACAGCACCTGGGTCAGGCATGAGCTCATCAAGCTCGTTGTGCATTTGAAAGCCTGACTGAGATCCCTCTTCTTCAAGAGGAACTGGCGGTTCGGTGGGTGCATAACTTGGAGATGAATCAATTTCAACAACCCTTCTACGTTTATCGGCTGGCTCAAGTCTATCCTCGGGGATCTCTTCAGGAGCAACAGCGGCAAATGGCTGCTGATTCAACTCTTGTTCATGCATACTGCCGAGAGGTGGAATCTCGCCTCGTGATCTCTTTTGCCAATATTCAGGGGAACGATAGAATCTACGTCTTATCTTATGTGGTCTACCCTCCGAATCAGGTCTGTCATCGATGGTCTCAGGATGAGGTTCGGCTTCTACATCTTCCTTGAGTTCGAAGTCCTCTGGACCAGGGATGTCCTTTGTGAGATCATGAAAACGAGCGACGCCCTCCGACAATGATTTACCTGCAGCTTCCGTTTCCGGTGCCAGCTGGCCTAATGCAAGTTCTCTTGCAAGCGCTCGAAACTCAGTTTCGTCTTCGGACATTGGACGGAGGCCTTCTGGTCGACATCTATAGAGATAGCCATTATAGCTTGTCCAAACTAGGCGTGGTATGGGACTATTTGATGAACTTTCTACCCCAATTACTTTGGCAGGTCCTAACCACTTACCATGTCTTGTGCTAAGCTGACCTCTTCCTGCTGCTCGAAACATGTATACAAGTTGACCTTGTACGTATGGTCCTCGCATGGGACGATGTCTATAGGCTACAGCTCTTCGCCAAACATCCTTCGCATGTTCTTCATGAAAGGCCTTGGCCGCTTCTTCACGAAGGCGAATCTTGGATGCAAACGATGGATCTGACAGGATTTGCGACTGGGCAGCAAAATTTCTTTGCTCATCCAAGTCGGCAAGCATTCCCACATGGCGTGAGTCCCTTCCCAAGAACCATTGTGCTGGGCTGAAACCATGCTTTCGAAGTTGTTCATTACGGGTTGTTGCACACATTTCTATTACCTCTTCTGGTGGACGGTCAGTGCGTGGCCAACAACGATTGGCCATGTTCCTGAGAATGCGATTGGCAATTTCAACTTGACCTAGCTGATAGTGTGCTTCGGCAGCCGCATGCAACAACTGAATGCCATGGTGTGTTAGGTACTCTTGGAAATCCTGGGAGAGATTAGTCTTGGCAGGGTCCATGAATATTATCTTAGGAGTGCCGTAGGGACGTGTCCACACCTTATGGAAAGCTACTGACAGCTGATTGGGACCGCGTTCAACGATGATCTGTTGTGCGAAACCTGTGGCCATATCAACACATGTCAACACGTTGAACTTGACTTCGGTCATTTTCCCATTACGTCCCTCTCTCTTGAGTTCTACTTGAACAAAATCAATACCCACGATGTCATTCGGGTTCTCTGCATGGGGGATTGCACTCTTACGATATGACGGTGGAGGCTTGAGTTCATTACAAATGGGACACTGGAAGTTCCGAATGCAGTCCACAATTTCTTGACTGGCTTGGCAACGGTTCGCGAGCCTCAACATTTGTTCTGTCGATGCATGACCTGTGTTCACATGCAATTTACGAACCAATGCGGACACTCGCAGCTGCTTGGGATTCAAACTTCGGCTGTTCGAATTTGGCTCGTCATGGTCTGGCAGTCTCTCTGATCGATCTTCTATCTCTTCTTCTAGTTGATCTTCTTCTTCATCTTGAGCTAAGATCTCTACTGCATCTGGACCCGAATGTCCATGGAGACTTTTGGCAAGACCATCGGCCATGACACGTGCAAACTTATTAGGATATGTCTCGGCCCAGGATGTCAGATTTCTACCTTTGTAGTTTCCTTCTAGATGATCATGACCATGCTTATGGTCGCACCGAAATGGGACAAGGTGCTGCATCAAAGACTCCTGAGTGCTGACAATCCGAGTTGGCTTCAAGACAGGGATGTTGGATTTGGGGCTACGGAGCCCGAGTGCACATTGGTCAATTCGGATTGACCAGGCTGGTCCAAGCACTAACTCCTGCCACATATCGGACGAGTGCGGATTCTCAGCATGTACATGACCTCCAAGGATGGTTTGGAGATGCCATGTTTCCGAAACACATTGCAGATGTCTTCTAGCTTGATGTCTCTTTTTCAATACTTCTTGTTTCCTAGACTCGGAAAATGCCATATTGAACCTCGACCAGGGACCCCAGCACTTACATGGGGGAGCAAACCAAATGTGATTAGGCTTTGTCATGGCTACCAGGTATAGGAGATTTCGTCTATCCTTCAACCTACCAAGGTCATGTCCATAATCTATCCCAATTTGGATTGCTGTTTTCTGGGTTCTCTTTTCGAACTGTTTGGACAAATTGGCTGTTCCTGTGAAAACTTCTATGAGTCCAACCTTGGAGTCAAGTTTACTAGCCTGGTTGCCCAACCAGTGGCGAAGTTCTGAAAGCACTTCCTGCCGATTGCTCTGCAGTCGCGACAAAGCCATGCGTACACCGACACGGCATGCCGCTGTGATTGCGTCTTTCAGTTTCGTTTGGGTTTCTTTTGGAACATCCTGCAAGTCAAGATCTACCCAGTCAACCTCTTCGTACAAGGTTTCGAGGGTGTTTGATCGCATGGTGTATTCCCAATCCCCTTCTATGTCATCATTACAACAACAATCACATTGGTGCGCTGATGGCGTCGGCTCTGCTGGTTCGACACGATCGGATTCACTGCCGGCACTCTCAGGTTCAGAGGGTGCTTGCTCGGATCGAAATGCAAAGATCGCAACCTGCATTGGGTTGACAGGTCTTCTGACCCGTCCGGCTGGACGAACGATCCATCCTGACATGTGCATGTTTCCATCTTTATCCATAGAGACTATCTTCATATCAAGTGAAGTTCGGTCGGCTTCGGCAGGAATCCTTTCTAGTCTAGGTTTATATGCTACATAGGCATGCACCACCGGGTGTTCGGGACATGAAAACAATTGGGACAGCTCGGCACGAAAAGCACTGCAATCGACGTTTCCTCGTTTGGTATGTTTACACACAGTTTGAAACGCCCTCCGAGTATCACACGGGGTTGGCTCCATTTTTGGTGCACTTAAAACACTGTTTTTGTTCGTGTCCTGTCCTCTGAGTTCTTGGTGGTGCTCGAGATCAACGGAGATGGACTGGCGGTCCATCGCTTGGGCTTCATGCGGATTGGGCTCATTTGTATTCGAGTCGTTGAGGACTGTCTCCCACTCAGCAACCTGTGGCACCAGAGACAACAGCAGATGGCCATTTGCGGCCTGTTTCAGGGGTACATCTTGCATACCATGTTTTGGACTCGTGATGGTCATTCGGCCCAAGTCCAGTGTGGCCTGCATACCCTCCAACACCCTTCGTGACAGCAGGAATGGTGCGCTTCCAGGAACAACATATGTCGTGATATTCCCTTTCAACGAACCCAGCTGTCCACTTCAAACCAACAGCTGTTGTTTCGCTCTGACCATTAAAGCCACGAAGCTCAACTGTAGGCCATTGTGACACGCACCGGTGGAGGAAAATTGCATTGTCTGAAAACCTGCTGATATCTCTGTGCTGTTTCCTCGCCAACAACGGATGTTGTACAACCAGTATCAATGATTGCAAAACCCGATGGAATTGAGGCCAGGAGAATTTCCAGTTCAGCAGCGGTGGACTCGGTCAGGGCATAGTTGAACTCGGTCAATGTCCTGTCAACAATCTCCACAGCTTCTGTCAGGTTGGCGTCCTCACGCCTCGGTGGTTTCTTCTTTGGGTCCTTTTGTGGTGACTTCTTGTCAAAGGACCTTTTCTCATAGCGTGGTGTTCTGGACGATGCAGCCTGAGTTCCCAGTGGAGCCTGGGACTGGCCGCCTTCGGTGGGTGGAATGGCCACCACCGGCATGTATGGTTGTCGTGCTCTTTTGATTTCCCTCACCTTCTTCTTTGACTCCTTGTAGGTGCGAAACTGTTTCTTGAATTCTTTCTTTGCTTTCTTCTGAATCTCATAGATCTCCTGCAGCTCTTCCTCAGAACCTGAACCCAGAGATGTTTCGCCACCCTCAACTTGGTAGGCCTCTTCACCAGACCCGGAGTCAGAAAGTGGGTCGACGGAGGTGGATGAAGCTTCAGCAACTTGTTCAACAGCATAGGCTTCGCGTCGTGGTCTCACCTGTCGACGATCGTCCAGCCGTGGTCGCCGGTCATCCAATCTCTCCTCATAGTCACTAGCACGCAAAATCTTCTCAATGTCAACAAATCGACTGGAGCCGCCTGTTGAACGAATGATGTGGCTGCGTTGCTCACGCGACAAACCAAACTTTCTCATGAACAAGTGTCCCAAAACTGACTGTGGAAAAATCGGTTTTGGCTTTGTATGCGACTGCTCCAACGTTCCAAGAAGACGTTGCATACGGAGATGATCTTTTCGCTGGTCACCTTTCTGAGTCCCAGTGGACTTCCCCTGTGAAGCCTTTGAGCTCGACTTCGCACTTCGGACCGATGGAGTGGATCCGGTCCGACGATGAGGATCAAGGGGAGGATCAAAAGGACCTGGAAGAGGTGCTGCTTTGGCCTTGGCTTCTGGCCGGACTTCATCTCCAGCTTCTTGTTCAGTTTCATCTGTTTGTTCATTGGGATCGTCTGGAGGTAGGGCATGTTCGTCCGACTCTTCCAGACTACTCGAATCTTCCTTTTTCTTTTCTTCTTCGACTGCGGACTTCGGTTGCTTCTTCGACAGCTGACGCTCCTGTGAGATGAGCGTTTCCAGGCGATGCAGACTTGTCTTGAACCGGGATGTGAAGGAAGTGGCTCCCTCATGTCCTTTCCGCTTCAACCCAAAAAGGAACTCATCTATGGCCTCGTGGAGCTCGGTCTCGGGCAAATAACGGTAATGCTGATCAAGCGTCCGAACAATTTGCAGCCAGCCTTGTTCACATCGAAGGTCAGCAATTGGAATGTTTTCGGTCGCTTTCCAAGCTTCGCCAGACAATCTTCCGAGGACTCGAGGACCGGCCAGGTGTTGTTGCTTGTCCTCAAGGGATGCAACACCAAGGATCAGCTTGCGTCTGAACTCACGATATCCGCTTGGCTTCCCATCGAAGTAGAGGTCTTTGAGAGTGTCTTTGTAGTCCATGGCTCAAACTGCCAACAACAAACAACAATGTTCCACAACCAACAATCAATGCTCAATGCTCAACAATCAACGTCAACTCAACCTTGCACCACTGCACAAGCAATGTACCTAGATGGCACGAGCTGCTCTGCGGTTTGCACCGCACCCGGGATCAGGCCGGGACCTCACAAAGCAATCCTGGAGCTTGGCAGCTCCGCTACCATGTAAAATGGTGAGCGGAGGATCAACAGCAACTTGTAAAGGCAACTGTCACAACTCAACCAACGGGGATCAAAGAACTCCGTCACGATCAAAAGCAAGTGGTACGCTCACTTTTCCATTGCGCAACCGTCGGGGGCTCGGATGAGCCAGACTCAAGGGCCCTTGGCCCTTGTGCCAAAATGGTCACATGAGAGGGCCGCCATCTCATATCATGATATGCATGTTCCAATGCATACAAATTCATATATATACTTGGACAAATTCCACCCAATTGCAGGCCGACACAACCGGGATAGGGTGTCAATGTTTGTTTGGGGGTGTTCTTGTTGTTACTGTTGTTTTTTATGTTGTTTTTTGTGGTTTTGCTCGGAGCTGCCCTAGCTGGGGGTTGAGGAAGGTGACGGCGCTCCCATTTCCCGTGTCGTCCGGCCAGCCGAGTGCGGTGGCAGTGCCGAGTTCGGCCATCAAAAGCCGCACACCGCTGCGAATCAGCCCCTTTGGCCAAACACACCGCCCAATATCAGTTGTTTCGCCCTACCAAGCGAATTAGCCAAGCTATCAGCTATCAAAACCTAGCCATCCAAATCCGAGAGAACCGCCAAAAAAGCAAGCAATAAAAAACGAAACCGACACAAAGCCACACCAAGCCACCGACCGAAGCTTATCAACTTGTTCAATCCGTCGTGGCTTCTGGTCATATCACCAATAATCCCCACAGGTTGGTCTGTGTCTTCCCATGTCTTCCCCCAGTGGTCAAGCCACAATCTGCTGAAAGCGATAGATATCGTTGAAGGTTTCCAAAGCTTGAATGTCGCCTGATCGAAACGCTTGGCAGGACCGGAGCGTTTGAAGGCATCGGTCGTGAAGAGTTCAAACGGATGAACACCAAGAACGAAAGTCCATGGCTGAACCCCAAGTCCATGGATGAGCCCCCAAAATCCAAGCTCAACGGTCCTGTTTTTCACGTTTGTTTTCCATTTGGGCTCTTTGACCTCGCTGCAACCTGACCTCGCCGTCACAAAAATGTTCGCTTTTGGTCGCGCCTTCTTTGAGGCCTCGGGGCCCACAACAGCCACGCCGCAAGCAGCACACGGTGCCTGGGAGGGGGGGGCGAGGCGCCCGAGGTCCATGGGCCTCGATGGTTTGAGGTCCGTCTGACGAGCCAGCCATGCCCCGTCAACACCCACCACCTGGACACCAGTCAGCAAGGACTTTGGGGAGGGAGTCTCGGTGTCTCTTTCTCTTTCTCCCAGCTGCAAGAAATGGTGGCGGCCACGCCGATGACCTCAGACAGTTGGGCGGAGGTTTGCAAGTTGACGCCTTAATTACAGTAATGCATTTCTCACATCTGAGCATCGAAAGATGTGTACTGCCAGGCGTGCTCCAATGAACGACACATTCCCAATGAAGCAGGTGCCTACTTCCTACCAGACTGAAGCAAGCGTCAGCACCGAACTGCACTGGTGGCAGGTCACGTGCCCCTGAAACCATCCAAACATGCGACCAGAGATGTCTGCAGCTCCTCGCTGCTCTGTTGATTCTTACTCCATTTTCTGGCCACAACAATGAAAATCAAACAAACAAGTCCAATCCCTGAAAACACGTCCACGCTCATCCATTCCTAGTGCCTCCGCGCCCAAACGTGCCAAGAAACTGTTCAACTGTGATCAAAAGATGTCCAAAGTCATGTGCATACCGTTTTACTTCTGGCTCCTCCCAGGGTGAAAACATGTGTAGACCATGTGTTTTCAACGATCAGAATCGAAGCTTGACGACCTTGTCTCACTCACCTGGGGCCGTTCGCGAATCGGTCGTTCGCCCATGTCCGGTGCCAGCGGTTGCCAAGCTGCAGCACCCGTCGCCACCAAGGGTATCTAAGCGAAAAGCGTGCGATGCGACCAGGTCGCCCAAAGAAAAAGCTGGTGACTTCAGCACCCGAGAAGACTGATGGTGACTTGATGGTCCGTTTTTACTGCAGCACCAGACCAAGTCAAGGGTTTTCACCAACTTCCTGGACAACGTTGCCAGATGCTCCACTGGCAAAGCTTCGGAAGAAACAAATGCCTGGTAAACGGTGGATTCACTGCAAATCGTGGGGGCATCCACCTATGGAGGCGTTCTCTGTTCGACGTCTGGAAATCGGGTTCTTCAAAGTGACCGCTTGAGATCACCGTTAAAAAGATCACTTGGGCCTCTCAAAGGTCACTCTCCGGCACTTGAAGACGGCTGATCACTTTGAAGAAGCTGGTTGATAGTTTACTATCTGACTATTCCTTTCGCTCTGCTTCTCTGTCTGCGTGCCTCTCTCTCTCATTCTCTGCCTATCTGTGCCCCTGTGCTTAGAGCTCCCACTGCCTCATTGAGAGTATTGAGACGCCCCACCGGACACCGGAACGTGAACTCCGGCACATCACCCCGGGATCATCTCGCAGCTAAGCCGCAATGACATCCGGGTCCTCCCAATTGGACATGGGTGCACCGAGTCAGCCGGGCGCCAGTGCGCCCCAGCGCCCCAGCATGACTAGGGCCATGAAATGGCGAAGCCGGCGAAGCAGTACTGCACAACGCAGAAGCATCTCGTGGAACTTCAAAACCTTCAGGGTGCAATTCTTCAGATTCTATCTTAAGGGTGTGAGCCCCAAGTGCTCGATGAAAAGAAAAAGGCGGTGGTGACATGGGGTTGAGCTTGGTCCAATTCCTATGCCCCAAAATGGGTTCGGTTCTCTTCTTCGTAGGGGAGGCATTTCTTTTTGCAACATCTGGCTACTGAAAGCCGTTGTTGCAGCTGCAGAGTCAGCCCAGCCTGTAACCATAGGCATACATCCTTGACACCTTTGCTCCCCTCTAGATTGCGAAACCACTGTCCGCCCACATCAAGTCTTTCCGCTCACATCAAGTCTGCGTGTCTGCCTAAATCCTAAGTCAAGGCGATCCATCAATCCCCCCAATGCCACCCATGACATCCCATGACAGCACCCAAAGCAGTCTTCTTGGTAAGGCCCTGATAGTCTCACAATAGCAAAGCTTCTCAGCAAAGATCGGGCAGAGAAGGGGGCGGTTGATGCATTCCCTTGAGATCACGGCGGGATATTGGGATCCCGAAACATGCATTGGCTACAGCGGCTACATCCACATTTGCGAAGCAGCCACGCTGAACAGCTCTATGCCGGTGTGCCACACATTTTCCTCGGACCAAACCCCGATGCCTAGTACCCTATTGATAGTGGAACCCGGAATGAGCCCATCCATGTTTGTCCTCTTGGGCCATTGAAATCTATAGGAAAGAGACACGAGGTTTGGACCAACACTTTGCAATACACCTGCTCGGTTGTTTGGATGAACTGATATATAGATTAAAGCAACTGGTGGCAGTCTTCCTATAGCATGGTCGTCAGCTCACTCGCCGGCGCGCACCACGTGATTCAGCAGAAGGTGCGCATCACGATGCCGAGGTGGCCAATGCGACGGTGCCATACAAAAGAATGCATGAAAAGTGGGAGGCGACAGGCAAGACTCCTTGCATGCCTACCGTTCAGCCCTCCAATTTCCTGGGGCCTTTCTCTCAAGGCCGGGTCTGTACATCTACTTTACAAGGTCAAAAAGAGGCAGAAAGCCGGCCTTAGCAGACTTCGCCAAAACTGGAGCACGCCCATAATTCATCCGAGTTCATTGCGGTTGTTTCGGTTGTCACCGAGAGGTGCGGGATGACAAGTTATGTAAGGACACCACCCCCTTCCAGAGAAAAAGAGTCCTATAGGACAATGCTCCAGTCATCCTTGCCATTTAAGAAAAACTCTTCCTGCATGCATGAACTTCATCGCTGATGCGATTCAACTTGGACAAGGAATCCTTATAATCCGCCTTCGCAGAACGGATTCCCTGCGTCAGTCTCGCCACATCCTGCCAGGAGGCAAGTCTGCGTCAGTCTGCCCCAAAGCACATGTCACATCTAGAAAAACACTGAAAATCCAAACAAAAACCATCACCTCCCCGAGGAAACACAGCCCAAAAGGACAAGATACACATGGTCTAACACACATTCTCACAATCCAAGTGACCGACTTGGTCAAGTGAAACATTCAGAACCTTAGATAATTCTTGATCACACACATTCTTCCCGCACAAATGCCATCTCTCTTGCCTTGATCTCAGTATGATATCGTATTGCATATGGCCCCCCGACTGGCTCGCGTGCCCCCAGTGAGCTGCTCCCAGCCTCCTGCGCTGTCACCAAATCCAGTTGGATCGTCTTCAGTGAGCTAAAGCCTCGACGTGTCAAAAACGGCCGCCATTGGGAGTCGCAGTTAGAAAAGCAGGGTTGCCGCTTGGGGGTGATTATCCCAGACACGACTAATGGGACTGGCATATATACCGATCAGTTGGGCTGGTTTCAGGGGTCAATGAGTGAAATATGAGATACATGGACATGGAGTGTCTGGGTCTGTGACTAATGTTCTGAAAGCCATGCGAAGATGCGCCTTCGTCTCATTCAAGCAACATGCCATGCGGCCGGCTGCCCATGTCAAACATGCAAGCGCTTCCCAATCGGGTTGAAAGGCGCCATGATCGTGCCATCTCATTATAATCAGATCAGACGAATTTATGGACCTGGAGGGACCTGGAGACGGAGGACAGTCCTGGAGACATCCCAGACATCCCCGACAGAGGTGGATCCTCTTTGGCCGGCCCTGCGGAGCCCCACGGTCCCTCGCCCGTGGGCCTCGGCCCACGGCGGACCGCCGAGGTCGCTCCGTTCGCTCCGCACCGAGGGGGCCAAGTCGCAGGGGCGTGCTTCTTCAATGGTCGCTGTTCCTACCTTCTCGCGCTGTGCCAGGAGCTCCTCGCGGATCACTCCCAGCGCCTGCGGTGTCTCAGTCTGGAGGCCGTGTTTACAGGTGCTCTGCGGCTCTGCGGCGCAGGAAAGCAAGTGAGTGCGGCCTCTCCGAGCCCCACAACCAATCCTAATCAATGGCTTTTCTTGCAGCTCCGCCTTTATGCCATAGCTCCACGGGGGAAAGATTGTTGCTCCAAGAAACCGGACACCCGAAGCATTAAGCGGTCCTAACATGACAGCGAGTGGATTACCTCTAGGTGCTGTGAAGGTCACTGGGGGAAGGTCACTTTTCAGGGATGGGGAAGCTGGCTTCCGGGCACTTCCGGGTGCCTTTCATTTCAACATTGAAGGTCTTTTCTAGCAATAAATGTACAATACACCATAATTAACCCACACACACGCACATATGGAGTATGCGAATTGTGTGTCGGATGTTTCAACACCAGGCAAGCTCAAAATCCCCAGGCAAGCATGTGTCCGACAGTCGTCTTCTCCCACCGAATGGGGGTGTTTCCAGCCATCCTTGCGCTTCAGCCAGCCTTGCTCGCCATCTGAAATTCCTCTTCACTGCTCCGGACTTCTCTCTGCAAGGCTGACAGCACGGATGCTGTCCGCGGCGTGGCGCGGGCTGCGAGGCCCTCAGCCGGAGTCTCCACGTGGAGGCTGGCTGAAGCAACACGTTCTGTGCCGTTACAATATGGCCAAAGCAAGGAGAATCTCAGGTAGCCGAAGCAGCCCATCGTGAAAACGAGAGTGTGAGATCCATCTTGGCCTGTGGATGGACAAGAGAACCACCGGGCATCCCAAAGCTGTGTTTTTGGAGGTTCCATGACACTTCATTGACTGGTTGGCGACAACAGTTCAAGCCAAGCTCTACCAAATTAATTCAGGTGATCTGCCACTTCGTCACATCCCTGTGGTGAGTGCGAAATGGGGTGCCCCTTCGCAAGTGAGATATCCACTTTGGTATACTTTGGTCATTTTGTTTCTTCACATGGCATCTCAGCTTCCTCTCATGACATGTCAGCCCCTCCCTACCTACAAGTTCCAAGCTTAAGGCAAGACGTTTTCGAGCAAAGAGTCCCCACGATTTTTGCCAGTGACTGTTTAGTGCTAGAGGGCACCAGACAGTAGCGTAAACCAGCAACCACCGGAAGTGTGTCCCTTTTTTCTCATACCACGCACACCCTACAAGTAAGAGGCCGTCTCTGGACCTCAAGAAGTGTCTTTGGTTGGCACGTCTTGGCACCCTTTCCTGCAGGATTGCGCCTGCAGGAATTAGAACCACACCCAGAGTCCATCTTCCACAATTGTCCCCTCTACAATTTTTGAGGCTCGATCTGGGGGATGCAATCGCCTGGCCCCAGCAGGTCCTCCGAGTCCTTCGGTCCTCACCTCCGTCTGCTCCAAAGCTTTCAGCCGCTGCCGCAGCTCCCGCCAACGTCGTTGGGACTCTTTGGCGTGCCGAGTGGCCGCCTGCCGGCAGCCACGTACGGGGCAGCCCAAAAAGGCGGTGGTGGCTGGGTGTAAACTCTGAAGTGCTTCTCAGCCACGGCCATGAATTGAAATGTGTCTAAGGTTACAAATTTCATGACATGGTCAGCAAAGCATTTTGCACTGGGTGACTGTGCGAACCGATTGCAGCTGATTCTGTGAAGAGCATCAAAAGATTTGAAAACGGTCGACAGAAACGGCCCGACTTTCTTTGTCAGCGTAGATTATATGTATATATATAATATATATATATATATATATTTGTGAGAGAAAGAGAGGGAGGGAGCGAGAGCGAGAGCGAGAGCCCGAGAGAGAGAGAGAGAGCGCTTCTTTCGAAGTCTCCAAAACCTCCAGAAGAGACCCTTGGAGTCGGTTGTTAGTCTTCACGTGCGCGAGACGACAGCCCCCCCAATGGACTCACTGATCTCAGTCCCTTTCACTTTGACTCATGGACTCACGCCCACAATTTGTGTAGGTCATTTATTATGTAGACTCTTGCTAAAAAAAATAGAAACCTCCCACATGTTACAATCCATGTCGGCTGGGGGCTTGTTCATCAAGAGTCTACAATTATTAAATTCTTCGCCATCTTCAGTCGAACCCACACACTTCCAACCAGTTCACCGTCGCTCCATGCAATGCCCCTCGGCTCCCTTGGGCTTCGCCTGACACCTGCGCAGGGTGTCAAAGTAGGGCTTCGCATGGTCCACGGCACCGCTCACGCGCCCGTGCCGCCAGCGGAGCTCGTCGTACAAGGCACGCCAGGTGTCCAGGGCAATCTTGTAGGAGCCCTGGGAGGGCGCAGGTTGGATGCTGAAAAGTACTTCAATGTCATCGGATTCATCATCCCAGGGGCTGAAATTCTTGGTTTCTGACCACCTCACTGGAGGATTGACGAACAAACTGGAAAAAATTAGAAAAAAAAAGGAAACACCACTTCCGCCGAGGCTGGGAATGAAGATGGTCTGAGAACACTCAGCCTGGCCACTTTGTGAATCAAAAGGTGCAGCACTAGCCTGTTTGTGTGCAATACACATCAACAATCGAAAAAAGGTGCTAATTATATATAGTCGAGTGTAATTGTAAATTCTGTGTGGTCTCCTCTCCGACATGCGCACAGGGAGAAAAAACAAAGAAGCCATGAGCCAGCACCCCCCAGTTTCTTGATTCTAGCCTCCGTTGCATCCAATGCATG